AACACACTGCCTCCTACAGACATCAGTGTGATTTCAGTGTAAAGTTACAAATACTAAAAGAGTCTAATAATCATTTATGTACGTGAAGGACCATTCGGTCACCTACGCAAGCTGCTTAAAGCTGGAGAATGTGCTTGACATCATGTCCTCTGTGATTAGTAAGATCAAATTCATAGAGAAGCTGCCTTGTGTTTTGAATGAGACCAAGAAGAGGAGAGAGAGGGAGAGAGGGAGGGAGAGAGGGAGACAGACAGACAGACAGCAAGACAGAGAGACAGAGAGAGACACACAGAGAGAGAGAACATGCAAATAGATGGATGCCAGACAGATAAGACAGAGATACAACTCTATCTAATATTGGAATACAATTGGGTACAGTTATACATAGCCAAATGATAAGCAATTAACCTATCTGTATCAAAAATCAAGTTTCTCTTACATCCATCAATTACTTATTACTTCTCTTAAAACAAGTGCTATAATAATAATAGCTACCATGCTTTTCGCCCCATGCAGGAGCTGGTATCTTCTTTAACACTTCTCATCTGTAATGAGCTCCATGGTTTCATCTATCCTATGCCTCATGCATTTATAAGGGAACCACCCAGCCTCCCTCTACCCACACCAATATCGTCCTGGCAACTCCTTCTCTCCTTGGGAAGACCTCCTTTGCTGTTAGTTCAATTTTTTTCTTGTAACTGGAGCTGCCAATTATACAACCCTGGCTATGAGGACATATGACCACATCCAGTCCACGAGTATTCTCTGTGATATTTAAAATTGAAACTGAAGGAAACATGTTTTATTCTCAAGAAAGCCTCAGAGAGAAAGCAGGTTAAAAGGAATACAGTGGTATCTGGGAGATAGGTTCTATAATACCTAAGGGATATCAAAATCCTCGGATGCCCAAATCCCTTATAAAAAATGACACAGTATTTGCATATAACCTATGTACCTCTGTCTATACTTTAAAAGGTCTTTATTTATAATACCTAATACAACAAAGAGACTGTAAATTGTTACTGTACTGCATTATTTAGAGAATAATGACAAGAACAAATATTTGTATGTGAACAGTATGAATCCAATTTTTTTCAAATATTTTTGATCCATAGTTTTGGAATGAACTTCTACCGTGGATGCAGAAGGCTGGATAAATTAAATTTTAGCCAATATATAGAATGGCAAGACAAGGAACATTGTACCAGGTCCAGGTTCCTGCCATCATTTAAATGAGAGCTTCCTCCCTACCTCTCTGAATCAATGGTCATTTGTTCATGGATAGTGAGACTGCGTTGTTGGCAAAAAAAAAAACCAAAAAACTCAAAACTGTAAACATCCCATCTGCCAACTAAGGCAACATCTACTATCTCATTTAAGATTGCCACCCGCTTTGTAGAGCAGCTATTACTTTTATTTTAGGGATAAGGAGCCAGATAATCAGGATAGAGGAGACACAGGATCAAAGCTTCCACAAAGTAGCTGAGCTGAACTATTTGGATCCCAAAATGCCATTACTTTCCTATCGCTTTCCATGGTGTTCTTCCTTCAGCATCCTGAACACCAGCCTGAGAACAGTTACCCCACAAAATACACAGGCCCAGTTCAAATCTTCCCTTTATGAATCCACACTGATGGTACTGATCTTGGTGACCTCCTGGTGGGGAGGTATACAGACTTCAATTAAATACCCTTGCTGAAGGGCTCTGAGAATACAAATAGACATTATTTGGACCACACTATTAGGAATAACATTTGCCTCTTGCAAAGTCAATAAATGAGACGCAGGAAAGAATGCTGCTTTTTTTTAAAAGTAAGCTAAGAAAAGTACATAATTATTTAGTATCAGCAATTTAATAGAACAGTACTATGTTTACTTTTGACACCAAAATATAATTGGTACTTCAGAAGCATGTTTCCCCAAGAGATCTAAAATTGAAATACAGAAACCATTTGTAGAAAATTAAAACTTTCTACTTTTATAAACATCCTTTTCTCCCCCAACAAAATCAACTAGATTTTTAACCGAGTATTTCTTTGGTCTCAGCATCTACTTGTAGAGCTAAAATGACCGTGATTTTTAAAGTCAGTTATTAACACACATCTGAGATATGCTCAGAACCATAAATTTAGGAATGCAGAAATTGGATGCATATAAACCAGAAGAAGATTGATCTGGGTGTAAAACTCATTTTCCTGGGAAGAAAAACAAATATGTCTTTTACCATAAGGGCGGATTCCGATTTGTTTTCCATATTAGTAACTTATTTAATACAGTGGTGGGCAAAAAGCAATCCATTAAAAAAGCAATTTTCCTCTTTCCGTGGGGCGCTTTATCATTTGATGTCTAGCATTCAATCAGAATGGAGCAATCCCTTAATATTTTATGGGCGGAAAACAACTCATTTTGGCATGTAGGCCTCAGCAACGTGACAGTTTTTTGTAAGCCTTGAAAAATGTCCAGAATGACCTTTGCGGATGCTGGCGAGCAATAGGTCAAACTGGAATGTTAAATTTAAAGTCATCAAAACACTGAGAAAACTATGCTTTAGAACAGACAATGGGCAGTTATCAAAAATACAAGGCATTTCAGCTGATAGGAACAAGTATCAGTTCTGGGCTCATTCTTCCACCCTCTGACCTCTGAGAAGCTTTCAGAAGTTCCTGGTGAACGAGGACCTGATCTAGTTGTGGGGTCCATCACAGTCCCTGACACATCCTAAGTGCTCAGTAGATCTTTTGGGAGAAGTAGAGAAACATGTTTGTTGTCACAGATGAAAGGGCGCCACCTTGGCTGTGCCAGGCCCCAGATTACCAAGCCCAATCTCCCTGCCGAGACTACTTGAGCAGAGGCTGTGGGAGCTGGGGCAGAACCCAGGGCCTTCTCTCCATCAGAAGGTGGTACACAGAACTGTCCACAGCATAAGAGGAGCATCTCCCTCACATCCAGGGACTGGTGAGGTGTTTGCCTTTGTCTCTGGCCTGTTACCACCGCCTGCACGTGTGAGGTTCCACTCTGCTTTCTGGACTCACTACAAAGTCCTCAAATGGCTGCCATGCACTGGCAGGGGTCAGATGGTCCCCTCGCTGCACCCACCCAGCTCCAAGCACAGAGCTCACACTCACCTGAGGGGGACCAAGTGCTCAGATTCCTGCCACCTCAGATGGGGCCCCACTGACCAGGAGGCCTGCCAAAAGAGGTCTGCATGGACCCTGCCTGCCAACACTAAGGCCATGTTTTCCAAGCCATCCCATCCCCAACCCAAGGTTGAACACTTTCTCTCCCCAAAGGGTTCTTTTCATTGCTACCTCTGTAAGTCCAGCCAGAAAATGAAATTTATGACTCAATGCCCTAAAAACTAACCATCCACTCCTGCATATTCTATAGCAGAAAAATGGGGGATTGTAGAAGCATAGTGAAGTTGGTACTATATCCAGGGACACAACAACCCTAAGAGGCAGAGACGGAACCACCTGCCCTCACTGCCAGCGTTCTCCCTGTCCCTTTGCTGGGTTACTGTGCAGCATGACAGACACATGTCCACTGGGTAAAGGAGGGCAGAACAAAGCTGGGTATGGACATCACAGCACAAAGAACATCCCTCCTGCTGCCCTGAAGCTGAGACTAAGCAGTCAAAATATTGCCGAGGAGGATGACAAAGGAGGGGACAACAACCCAAGCCCAGAAATCTCCACAACTGCTCTCCACGTCCTAAGAATCTTGAAAGGCTTTGAAATGCTCTTTAGCAAGTGACTTTCAACAATTCTTTCCATGAAATTAAGATAAACATAATTAGGCACTGTCATCAGATGGGGAACTTCAGTAGGATTTGTTTGATTTAAGGGTTACACCCTTAAACTGGATAAACAAGCCATACTGCAGCCTCAAGTCTCAATGACTTAGTTTAATTAGGGAGCAGAATGGAGGACTCGTGGAAAAGATCCATGTAAATCTAAGTCTTAACATTTAGGAGGCAGTACCTGAGGTCAGATGAACACAGAACCCTCCAGGCTAGGTTGCCATTCTCCCCACACAAATACTCCCTGGTGAGGGTCAAAAGCAATGAGCTTTCATAGAATTTCAATATCACATCCTCCTCTTTCTCAAACTTGTTCTCAGCGGAGGGTGATAAAGTGCTGCTCAAACAGGCTCAGATTCTTAGTGTATTCTTCACTCCGTACTAAATTTCCCATTTTATCTCAGCAGCACCTGTACTTGGTTCTCTACATGTTAATAAAACATAACCCCCTTTTCCAATTTAATCATCAGATTCTTTCCATTAATCATTCCAGCCCATTCTTTTTAGCTCCCAGGCAGGTGGCTGCATATTTATGCTTTCACAATAATTCCAAACATCACAACATGTTCCTGATATAAACCGTCCTCTCTGGTGCTCATGATATGAAGCCTAAGAGGAGAGATTTACATGCGTGCCAGCTCCATAGACACAGGATGGAGGAGAAGTCAGCTCCTTCCAGGAGGGCTGATCGTGACAGCAAGAAGAGGTTAAATCATGTTCACCTTCATGCCAGTGAGTCAAAGGGAAGAAAATGATCGTCTCCTCTTTTCCTCCATGTCCCCTCATACATTATACAATATAAATGAGAAAAAGAGTCATAAGCATATCTCTCATCACATTTTTCATTTTCAGCTACCAAATTGCTTCAGTAATTTCTTCTGTCTTAGAGAAAGTATTCCAAACAACAGAAACACTGAGAGCAAGCAAATTTCATTAAGGTATTCGATTTTTCTTCATAGAGAAAAATCACTTTGAAAGAAAGAAGAGAACATGATCCACTAGCAGGGAATTTCAAAGAACACCACAAATTGTTTCCCTAATTAGCAGCAAGGCTCTTGTAATATATGCTCATTATCACAGTATCTGAAACTCAACCATGATACCTACACAATAATGTCCAGGTGTAATCTTTGTGCAAGCTCGGGGCTCAACCCTGAAGCCCAGCAAATGGCCAAGCTTCACAGCCACAAGGGTACTTACGCAGCTCGCCCACTTTCAGGATCTCACACAGCATCTTGGTCAGCTCTATGCTGCTGCGGCCAAAGGGACATTCATGCTTGTCTTCTCGACTACTGTTCTCCAGTACAATCTGCCAAGGATAAGGCAAGTGGTCAGAGAGAGAGTTCAGTGGCTGATAATATAAAAAAAAAAATAGGCTACCCTCCAGTAGAGAAATCAAGAGACCCTCTCTAGGTCCCCAAACTAAGATTCTTGGGGCCAAGATAAAACTGTACACAGAGTGCATAAGACCTCACCTTCTCATGCTTTCTAAGGCTCCTCTAACTCCCTCTGAGGTGCAAGAGGGTGTTTTACCTGTTGGTTTCCATTTATAAAGTATCTGCAGAGGATTTTTCAAAAGTGTTTCATAAAGACATTTTACTTCAGTGATAAAACTACTTTCTTGTTCTCCCAGCTCCATTTTTCCTTACTTAAAATAGTAACTCTGTGACTTCATCTCCCACATTTCAATTGCATAGTTCCTACAGAAGTTTCCATGTTTTTGCAGCACCTCACCTCTGGCATGAGCAGGATGAACCACAACTGGAGAACATGTGACCCAATCTAACCCAATCAGAGTTCTTCCCTGAGACAACCCGGACAAATCAGAGTCTTTCCCTGAGACAACTTGGACAAATCAGAGTCTTTCTCTGAGACAACTTGGACCAATCAGTGTCTTTACCTGAGACATTTCTTCCTAAAGAGGAAAAGTTGACTCACCTATACTGACCTACTTGTAGGATGTAAGCAGAGGAGTTACCTGGATGTTGGCCTACAAAACATGAAAATGAAGCCAAAATACAAAGGATAAGAGACAAGAGGCTATGAGAGCCTAAGAAGGATTTGGATCTTGGCTCATTTGTTCCTGCAGCACAGCTCCTTCCCTATCCTTGTGCTTTGTTTGTCCCATCTTTTTCCGAAAATCCTTTGGTTCACTTAAGAAATTCTCCTTTCCTTCAGCTAGTTTGAGCTGTTCTTACCACTTAAAACTATGGGAATCATTCCACATAAAAGCAGAAGACAACAACAAAACTCTAATGAACAGTCCCTGGAGAGGCTGCTTAGTTCACAAACTAAAAAGTTTATTCCTGCTGGAAGCTATGCCTAAAATTCTTCTCCAGGAAACACTGTCTGGTGCCCCTCAATAGATTCACCGCTTTCAACACTTGCCTCCCACTAGCATCTACAAGGATACTAACGCAATGACTTACTGCTGTTTCCCCTTTGCTATTGTTTGGATATGGACTGACTGCCCCCAGGGCTTCATGTGGAAATTGAATCCCCTCTGTGAGGTATAAGAGGTTAGACACTTACTCTCATGATGGTGTTTGGAGGTGAGGCTGCTAGGAGGTGACAAGGATTAGGTAAGTCCACTGGGGTGGGGCCACCAAATTTGAGTCCCAGTGGTTTTATGAGAAGAGAAAGACACCAGAGGAAATACACACGGGTACTCCATGTCTCCTGACTTGTGATGTCTTGTACCCCCTCAGGCCTCTGTCAGCAATGCCATCATCTCATCAGGTGTTCCCACTTGGGAATGCTCCTCCTAACCCACCATGTTTACCCAACCACCTTCACCTGCTCTCCCAATGATGTGGGTCAGTGTGCATGGCCTTCAGAGCATCCCAGGGGTTGGCAAATTCTCCCATTTTGTGGGGCTTTTCAACCATTTGCAACATAAGCTCCCATAAAGCATTAGGCCTTGGATGTCATCATGAACGTTGCCTTTAATGTCCTTGGGATTTATGACAAATATGTTTCCTTAAAATGTTTTTAGGTAATGGGCTTTATGGGTTGTTTGGTTTTTCTGGAGAAAGTTCAATGGAAGCGCCCCCTAAATCCCTGCTTGGCATCATTTTCAAACTGATTTTACATAGATATTACCAGGTAGTCCACCACAGCCCAGGCCCTGAAGTCCTCCTTTCCTCTTCTCAGCCGGTCAGGAAGACCTTCAACAGACCCTGGGCTGAATCACCCTCTTACCTTTTAAGGAACCCTTTCTGCTCCTAACTAGGAATTCTAAAGTTAGGGAAAACAGGAGTGGAGAATAACTAAATTCCTATCCATCCGTGAATCTTGTTTCTCTTTTTAAAAATTTTGTATCTGAGACAGCCAGATCAAAGGAGCAAATGTGAATCTCTTGATGATGGGGAAAGAAAGTGGAAAAAACAGCAAGAAGACAGGGCATAAAGAAAAGACAGCAGACAGGTAGTTTTCAGCCAGCCCTGGGCTCTGGCTCCCAGTGAGCATATTCTGTTGTATTTCACATTAACATTCTATTAACATTTCATGAGCACATCAATATTTAATGAGGATGGGATCTGCATACACTGTAGGTAGAATTACTGCAGCCAATAAATGTTCACAAAGCATTTCCAAGCCACAGTTTATTAGCAGGCACTAAATTAAGTAGTAATTTAAGTAATCAATATGTAAATCCACTCGGAGAAGCCATTCTCTTTATTTTTTAATGCACCATCCATCCTCTCATATTTACCTACCCAAAGAAAAATAAACCCTCCTTCCTGGCTGATTTCTTTAGGCAAGGTAGACACAAATATTCAAGTCATGTCTCAGTTTTAAGGTGAACATTCTTACAGAACTACTTTACTAAAGACTATGATTAAGAAAATTACAAATTGGGTATTACTCCAGTGAGGGATCATTTTTAAACTGGACAACAGATTTTATTATTTTTAAACATAGTCATATATCTATAGTCAGTGTCAGCATTCTGGTGATTAGCCATGTCCACCCGAAAATCTCCATTTGGAAATGTCAAAACGTACATTTTATCTGTAGTGTCCCCTTCTGTTTCAGTTTAAAGAGAAACTGCAAGGAGTAAAGCCCTAAAACCTGCCATTACCACTCATTCTAGAGCACATCCTATAGTAAAAGAAGTTGTAATGATCTGCACTCTTTACAAAAATGAAAATTCTGGATATCTGTGCGGCAATAAGTCTATTTTATGAGATACTTTATAGTTTACTGAGTGCACTTACGTATTCTCTATCACCTTTTCATTACCAGATCTCTTCCTGCCCCTTCACGGTTCACAAATTGGCTTCCCATATACATTGCTACGAAATTCAGTGGATTTCGTGGATAAGGGGAACTTGCCTCAGTTTCCTCCACCACACTGATGTGGGTCTATAACTCCCAGCCTCTCCTGCCACAACTATAAGGTTCTCTTGTATGTTGTTTATCCTTTAAAGATTAGTGACAGTTTCTCAAGTCAGTTCCAAAGCTGCTGCCGGATGATCCAACAGACTTTATTTCCATAAACCCTGGGCCTTCCCTCAGAAGGCTGATGCTTCTCATTCTTCAGTTGTGCAGAGCAGGTTTGGCTTGGTATCAAGCACTAAGTACAACACTGCCCTCGAGCGTCCATTCCCCTGAGGCCTGCAAGGACCAATTTGGCCCTCATAGTTTCCCTCAGCCTCACACTGTTAATGTACACAAAGGCAGATCAAAGGGTATGGTGGATATTTAAATTTTAAAAGAATTACAGTTAAAGACACGTTGTCATTAGTCCCACTCAAGATCTTTCCCCTTGTTTCATACTCTTATCCCATTGTTCTTGCCACTTTCTGAAGCAGTTCTGGAAGTCCTCTTTCATGAGTGTTTTCATAAATACAATTTTAAAAAAAGTGAGTGTTGCTGCTAAGTGCCATCCCACAGAAAGGCAGGCTCACAAACACGTCAGGGTGTGACCTGATCCACCTTGTTTGCCAGCTGAAGTACTATTTGAGTCTTGACCCTTCCCTAAAATCAAAATGACCACAAAAGGTAAATGCTTTGAATGCATTCAGGACATCGAGGCAGCCACAACTGTGCAACTAAAGACACTCATGAAAGAGTGTTCCAGAACTGCTTCAAAAAATGGCAAGAATGATGGAATAAGTGTGTCAGAAGTGAGAGGGAGTATTCTGAAGGGATTAATGACAACGTGTCTTTGACTGTAATGAATTTCTTTAAAGTGAACATTCAATGTACTTTTTATTTTATTTTGGTTTTTCTCCGGTACCGGGAACCAAACTCACGACCTTGCGCTTGCCAGGCAGGCGCTTTTGCCGCTGAGCTAAATCCCCAGCCCTTCAATGTACTTTTTAAAAATCATGTTCTGTATGTTGCAGCTCTCCCTGAGCTGCCTTCTTTCACCAGATTTTAAAGCTCTCTCCACTGTGCACCACTCCAATCTCTTCTGTGGCCCCAGTAGCTAACTGTGGAGTGCACCATGGTAGCTCCATCTGTTCCTGTCATCCATGGGAGCATCTCTTCTCCCTAGACCCATCTTCATGCTGCTTCGACTCTAACCTAGGATCTGAGGAGGCAGAGCAGCCCCTCCCCAGGCCAAGTCACTGATGGCACTGTGAGAGGTGACACCGAATCCTCCTCAAAGAGAAGGACTGTCAGCAATGCCCAATTTTAACATGAAGCACAGGCAATGCACAGGGTCGCACATCCCATCTCTGTGACACTTGCAGATGCTACATGAGCCTCACTCCACGGCAGCCATGTCCATCCAGCCACATGCTGAAAGCAATGTGCCTAAAACAGACTTCACAGAGTCCGAGTGTCTGATCTCTTCACTGGCCTTCCTCTCCCCATTTTCCCATTCCTGTGTGACCTGTGGATAACACTTCATTCTACACTTTTACCAGCAAACAGTGGAAAATCGTGGTGACTGTAAGTCTCTGGCTCACAGAAGATAGGCCCCTGAGGACATTAAAAAAGGGAGCCAGAGGCCCTCTGGGCATTTAGGTGAGAAACAGAGACATAAAGTAGTGTCTTCACCTACTTGCACTGCAAATGCACACAGGAGGGCCCATGCAGGTGATCATCAGAAACCTCTCATAGGCATGCAGGGTGGAGGGAGCTCTGAGATTGAGCAATGACCTGAAAAGTAAGTCCTTCAGAATATGACACTTCTGGCAATAAAGCCCAGTGCCGTGGGACATCTGTCTTCAGACCCCTTTTCACCTTCACCAGCCTGAGAAACTGTCTCCTGATCAAGCAGTGAGACATGGTCATTTTATCCCACTCTAACCCAATATGTTAGGCCAAGGCATCCACCCTTCTACATTAGTA